AAAACCAAAAAAAAAAAAAAAAAAAAAAAAAAAAAACATATGTGCCATGACTTCTTTCTGGCCGGTGAGGGAAGAGCTTGCGTCAGGCGACCGACTTCTTGGAAGACCAGCTGACCCAGCAGTATCTGGTTAGCAAAGGAGGGGCAGAACTAGGGGCCTGGAGCACTCTTATAACCCCATGTCCTAGGATGAGCACTCTCCCCTCCCATTTACTCTCCCGATGTTGAGTGATTTTTCAGGAAGTAGAGATTCTATATCCTGAGAAATCTGAGCTCTCGGAGGAACTCCTAAGATCAGGCGTGACTTGCAATTTATCATAACCTGAAAATGTAGAAAAGAGTGGGAACTCACGACTGTTCAAAAGTAAGTTCATCAGGGAAATCGTTCCTGTGCTGTCAAGGAGGGCTTCACAGAACTGCTGGCAGATTCAGCCGCAGAAGATGCTGGCTTTTCGTTTTCCTGTAAGGAGGAGGAAGCCTTTGTTCCGTCCTTCCTCCTCCCTTTCTGTGCTGGAGACTGTTAACTTTGTAGCCATGGCTGACAACACTGTATCAATAACTAACCAACCGGCAGGTGCGCCGGCAATCCAGGGAAGGCAGAAGGCCATGTCTGCGGAGCAAAAGACGTCACCGTTGATTGTAAAGCGCTTTGTAAAATTCACATTTACAGAATAATAAGGTCAGTTCAAACCCCCTCTTCCAAAGGAAGAAAGGAGTGAGAAAGCCACAGAACAGCAACAGAAAGAAGCAACTTTATGTGGGTGAAGAACATGGTCCAGAAGAGACACCTTCATGAGTTCTTTTACACGGAATATATCACAATGTACAGTGTAAGATGTGCTAGAAATAGAGAAAAAATGGGTGCATCTCTTATAGTAGAGGGAGCCGTCAAGTGACATCCTCACACACATAACAAAGAGGAGAGCAAGGGTGCAGAGACTCCGAATAGTACATTTAATACGATTGAATGTATATGCACTGAATTGCGTATCTTACAAAGAGAACACACACCGCCACCCCCCCATCACCATAGGGTGATTTATAAATGTTCTCATCTAAAAAAATTCTCTTTTGTTTTTTGTTTTTTTTTTTTGGTTTTTCTCCGGTACCGGGAACCGAACTCACGACCTTCCGCTTGCCAGGCAGGCGCTTTTGCCGCTGAGCTAAATCCCCAGCCCTAAAAAAATTCTCTTGAAGCAGAAAATTTGGGGGCCATATTCTCTGACCTCAGTACAACAAATCTAGCAATAGATGTGCAAAGATTAGCTTACAAAATTTAGCTGCTGGAATATTAAAAAAAATACTTGAAAAAACAACAGTGGGATTGAAGAGGAAACCAAAGAGAAGCTGCAGACCATTAGCAAATCAGTGTCAGATATCAGTTGAGAAAGGGGTAGTATATCCAAGGGTCTGGGATAGGGCACGGCACAGATCACCGGGGTGGGTCCACTGCGGCCACTTCTGCCCAACTCACTGGTCTTCCCGTCTGCTCAGATTGGGCTGTTTATCAGCTATGACAACGCCACCAAGCAGCTGGATACAGTCTATGACATCACTCCTGAACTGGCCCGCGCATTTCTGGAGAGGATTCGCGCCTCCAGCTTCGACATGAAGAACACCTCGACCATCCACAGGCAAGAGAGTGGGCGCGGGCCCTGTGAGGTGCCTTCCAAGACACCGGCTGACTTGGGGAAGGAAGCGAGGTGGCTGGCCCCTCTCTAAGTAGTAATGAAATGGGGCGGGGTGGGGAACAACGTTTCCTGAGCCTCTGCCGTGGGCCAGTCATTTGTGTCACCTTCTCAAGTGCTGCTTTCGGCTCTAAGCATGGCAACGGGCATTCTCAATGCCTAGGAGAATTTTCAGTTCTCCAAGTGGATGCATTGTTTGTATCGGGTTGTATCGAGCCCTGGAAACAGCTCATGGGTCCCCACTTTCAAGAGCTTCCTGTTACTAGACTCAGCTGGGGAGCCTCGGCATGAGATCCGCTGTAGAGTTTACTGATAGTGCCATGGTTCCCCCAGAATCATTTGCAGCCACTGGAAGGGGTGGGACCAAGCGGGGTTCAATGTCAGAGAGAGAGAGAGAGACAGAGAGAGAGACAGAGAGAGAGACAGAGAGAGAGAGAGACAGAGAGAGAGAGAGACAGAGAGAGACAGAGAGAGAGCGCGAGCAGGCGATGAGGGTGGGTGGGGAGAACATCTTCTCTCTGTCCCTCAGGGTCTCACTGTCACACCGCCCCCTCCCACATCGCCCTGTTACCCTCCAAGTTTGCAAATGAGCCACTTTTAGCGTGTGTGTTCATAAAGCGGTTTCACCACCTCCCTCCATCCCTAGTATTTCACCCCCTAAGATGAGCTCCACTTCTCTGTGGCTACACACACACAGAACACAGCAGACTCGTGAGCGCGGGACCCGGAGCCAGACTTCCTAGATTTAACCCCGGCTGTGCTGTGCACAGTGTGTGTGATCTCGGCCGTGTGACACGGCCTGGCTGTGCTTCCCTGTCCCATCTACGCAGTGGGAGGCCCGAATCGGCCCGGCTCAGTAAGAGCTTTGCAAGGAGGAAGCACACCTGGAACATATGGAATACTCAGTAAATACTATTTTTTCTAAAATCATTTATTTTTAAAATTGACAAAAATTGTACACACTGGTGGTGTACGTGATGTTTCAGTGCATGTACATATCGTGGGGTGGTTAGGTCAAGCTGATCACCATATCCGATGCATCACATGCTTACCAATTCTTTTTTTTTTCTTTTTTGGTGGTGGAAACACTTAAAATCTACTCCCTCAGCAACTGTCAAGAATATAATACACTGTTATTAACAGTCGTCACCACAGTCACCAGAATTTAATTCTCTTTCTCTAACCGAAATTTCGTCTTACGTGACCAACATTTCCTAACTCTCCCCTAGTTTCGGACCTTCGTTCTGCTCTCTGCGTCTGTGAGATTAACTTTATTACACTCGGCATACAAGTGAGGTCACATAGCATTTGTCTGTCTGTATCCGGCTTATTTCCTTTAACATAATTTCCTCCCGGTTCATCCGTATTGCTGCAAATGACAGATTTTTGTGTGGGTTTTTTTTTTTTTTTTTTTTTTTTTTTTTTTTTTGAGACAGGGTCTCGCTATGCGGTTCAGGCTGGCCTTGAGCTCACTTTGTAGCCCAGGCTGGTCTCAAACTTGCAACGATTCTCCTGCCTCAGCCTCCCGAGTACTGGGATTACAGGCGTGCGCCACCATGCCCAGCTTTCATTCACTTTAAAGGTGGAGTGGTGTTCCCTCAGGTAGCTAACCACTTTTTATTATTTATTTATTTATTTATTTATTTATTTATTTACCAGGAATTGAACTCAGGACCTTGCGCTTGCCAGACAGGCATAGATTTTTTTTTTTTTTTTTTTTTTTTAAACCAGGAAACTAACCACTTTTTGAATCCAGTCATCGACTGGTAGACGTTTAGGTTGGCTCCATACGTCTGACTTTACCACGGGGTCACTGATGACCCTTCACTCCCTGGTCTGGTCTCTCTTCCATGCACAGGTCCAGATACATCAGCACCTTTCTGAGACGGTGGGGCCAGGTTGATAGTGGTCAGCCGGGCTGTCCGGCCACGCTAAGCGGAGTAGTTTTCATGTGAACTCTGAGGACACTCACTAAGGAGGGCCCCTACGTCCACGGCGAAGTCTCCTTACCATCCGGCATCCGCTTCTCATCTCACCTTCGCAGCTGCCTCGTCCCCTCACTCGTATTTACTGCGACGTGCCGCGGTGCACAAAGCAAGTCCCCTGTTAGTGAGTGCTCGGAGAGGCAGGCCCTGCGCAGCCGTAGTGTCGCTGAAGAGCTGTGTGCAGCAACCTGGCAGAGAAGCTGTTACTTCCTGGAGCGCAGGCATCTCACAGAACGGGCTTTCAACTCCGGGGGGCCTGAATCCACGTGCTTAACCACCGGCTGTACGGCTCCTTCTTAAATCTCTGCACCACAGGGTGGCTGGGTAGTAGGGTGGTGCAACCTCTCCTTCAGGGTAGACAAACCCCGCATCTCCACGTGAAAAGTGAAGATTCTCAGTGGCCAGTTAGCGCCATCCTTTACTTATCCGTTTTACCCACCCGAGGTGAGAGACGGGTTAGCTGGGTGGATTTAGACAACAGCAAGTTATCTAGGCAAGTCATGCGACCTCTCTAAGTCTCAGTTTGCCCTTCTGTGAAATGGGACTGAGGAGAGCTCCTACCTCACAGGGTGGTTGTGCTAATACAGTGCATGTTAAAGGACTTGGCATGACACGTGGGCTCTTGGCCCTCTTGGTTGGGACTAGGGGTGGGTGTGGCTGTAGCCCCAGCTCTCAGCCCTCCACCAGTGCCTCATCCTTCCACACAGGCTGGGGCTGCTGGTCTGTTTCTACGATGATCTGGAGCTGCTGGACACCACAATGGCCCAAGTCCTCCTCCACCAGATGCTCAAGTGCGGCCGCCTGCGGGGCTTCCAGGCCAGAGTTCAGAAGGTGCGACGGGGTCTGTAATTCCAGCACTCTGAGAGCTTGAGGCGAGAGGAGCACAAATTAGGACCCAGCTCACACAACTGAGCAAAATCTGTTTGAAAATAAAAAATAAAGTGCTGGGATGTAGCTTGGTGTGAAGGTCCTGAGTTCAGTCATCAGTCTTTTTTTTTTTTTTTTTTTTTTTGGTTTTTCTCCGGTACCGGGAACCGAACTCACGACCCCAGCCCCTTCAGTCATCAGTCTTGTAAAAACAACATGCATACAGATTGCATGTCTGGGCCCTGGCCTCAGTTTTACCAGCCAGAGAAATGGGGAGAACACACACTTGCTTGGCCTCAAGAGAAAACACAATGTTAATTAGGATCTGAGTCCAGCCATAGTAGATGAGATCTGAAGTCTTTGGGTGCTCATAACATCCAAAGGGAAGGGCCCCCAAAAACAGCGTAGGGAAAAATCTTAGGAAGATGAGAATTAAAGCAGCTGTGCACAAGTGAGACATGCAGAGGGATCACCTGGGGTCTTTAAGTATTTTATGTTAAGTTATGTTATTTTATTTTGTGGTAGCAGGGTTGTACCCAGGGCCTTCACACCGATTTCCATCACCAGTACTTTTTATTTTTTATTTTGAGGCAGGGTCTCTCTAACTGCTAAGTCGCCCCAGCTGGGCTCTGGCTCACCACCCTCCTGCTGTCCATCAGCTGGAACAAAGGCTTGCGGCCTACGCCCGGCAGTTGGGGTTCCCCTCCCCCGCAGATCTGGATCAGGAGGCCGGGCGGGCCGTTCCTCCTCCTCCATCCGGCTTGCAGATGACGCGGAGCTGCAGGAGCAGTGCGGACTGAGCAAAGGTTCCAGACCTGGCTCCAGGGAGTACCAGGCTCTCCGGAGGTTGCTGTTGACCAGTTTAGGGCGTGGCTGCGGCTGCGCGGTTTCAAGCACCTCTGGTGGCTCCGGCTGAGGCTGAGAACCTGGATCTGTGGTTTTATTTATTTCATTAGTTTTTTGCTCACACTGCGTATGATTCTGCAGAATGTGCTTTTTCCACCCCTGAGTCATTTGGCTAAGTTCATACCAACCTTAGCAGTCCTTTCTTCTAAACTGCCGGACAGAATTTCTAGTTGTGACTCCACAGTGGGAATTAGGCTTTCAACATTTCGCGTACCAACTCTCCGGCCTCCAAAGTGTCTACGGCAGTGACCGTTCAAGTTTCCCTGCCTCTAAGTTGGCGGTGAGGACTCACTTCTCCTCAGCACTTCCAGTATTTGATATTACACTCTGAATTTGATCTAACCTAGACCGAGTTCTGGACAAATTAGCAAGTTCAGGTTCTCTCATCCCCTTCCTCCTCCGTCTCTCTTCCCTGGAAATCTCAGTTCTGTCCTGGGCATCGATCCCAGGTTGTTCATGTGGAGCTGAACCTCCAGGTCTTTTTAATTTTAAATTTGAGCCAGGGTCTTGCTAAGTTGCCCAGGCTGACTCAAACTGGTGCTCCTCCTGCCTCAGCCTCCCAGAATGTTGGGATTACAGACTTGCATCCCCACAGCCGGCTTCAATATTTTTTCCAATTGAAAAGATGTTATGAGAATATTAAAGAAAAATTTGATAAAGCCATCAGTCACTCTACAGCAGTTTTCCCACACATAATCCTAAAATCCCCAGTTATATTTGACAGCTCACGTCGTGGTCATCTATCTTGGTAGATTTATATGTGTTTTTGTTTTCTTTTCTTTTTTGACTTTTTTTTTAGAATTGGGACTCGAACTCAGGACCTCATGCTTGCCGGGCAGGCGCCTTGCCGCTGGGCTATATTCCCAACCCGTGTTTTTGTTTTCAAAGAAAAGAATTTCTTCTCAAGCAAGCTCAAGCCCAAAATAAGAAAACAAACACATTGAATGGCCACAAGGGGTGTGTGCGTGTGTGTGTGTGTGTGTGTGTGTGTGAGCTCTGCCCGAGAAGAAAGTCAAATTCAGCTAGATTAGGGGGACCCTTTGGGCTCCTCCAGCCCAGGGTGCCCTGGAGTCGTCGCGCTGTCGTCGACCCTAAGTTAGAGCAGCGGCGTTGTCTCCTACTGCGCTCTGCTGCCCCCGCGTGGCTGTTTCCGTAGCGCACGGAACAGTCACGTGACCCCTCTGAAAAGCCAGTATTGTTCCTATAAATGCAGGCGTGCGGGCGCCCTCCCCGCGGCTTGTGTGTAGAGATTACGCTACCGTGCAGGGTCCATTACTTTCCTCATCGGAGGCGGTTGGGAAGCACGCTTGGCTATAGCTGTGCAGGCATATTGCAAGCAAACTGTCAAAATGGTCATAGCTGCACAAGACGTAATTTTAAGAATGCAGACCACATAATTGTACTTTTGTTTATAGTGCAACTGTGTAAAGACTGACTTAGAAGGCTACACACCCAACTGATACCCATGGTTTTCTCTCCCCTCCCTGCTTCCTTCCTTCCTTCCTTCCTTCCTTCCTGCCTTCCTGCCTTCCTGCCTTCCTGCCTTCCTTCCTTCCCTCTTTCCTCCCTTCCTGTCCTCTCTCTGTGCTAGGGATCAAACCCAGCCCCATTTCCATTTCAGGCAAGCGCTGACCACTGAGTCACACCCCAGCCCCTGAATTATTTTTATGAGCCAGGAGTTTAAGAACGCTTTAACTGTCTTGTGCTGTTGAGAATTATTTTTTCACAGATTATGAATTATCATGAAAAAGCCTCCAGATAGTTCACAAAAGAAAAATGGCTCTATTTATGGATATAGAGTTCAAGGTTACAAAAGGAAAATATATGCTACAAGAATTTGGCGGGGTTATGAGGGAGCAAAATTCCCTCCTGCCATGCTTTCAGGTTGATTTAATAACACATGAATATTTAAATGAAACTCAAATTGAATTTGCAGCACGTTAAAGCCGGCATGGGAGAAGTTCCGGGCAGGGTAGGAGTCCCCTTCTACCCTTTCTCTAGGGGCTTCCATGGGGCAGGGTGGGGCGGGGAGCCACTGCCCTGCCTTCGGCCAAAGCTTATTCTGGTTTGCTCTCCTCCTAGCTCAAAGCTGGCCTCCTGGACATTGCCACAGAGAACCAGACCCTCAGTGAGGCCCTGGGCTCTTTGTCGGGGGCGGCTGTGGGTCTGACCTCACGTCAGCTGGAGTCTCTGTCCCCTGAGGCTGTGCAGACCGCCATCCCCACCCTCAGCCAGGTCTCGGGCTGGGCCAAAAGCCAGGCCATCATCTTGTCTGCCAAGTACTTGGCCCATGAAAAGGTCAGTTGAAACTTTGAATTTTTCTCGCGCACCCTAAGACCCGAGGGCCAGGGCGTCTGTCGGCTCAGGCTACAAAATAACCTGGGCCGAGGGGCCAACAGAGCGGAAGGGCAGCTCTCGCGGTTCCAGAGGCTGGGAAGTCCAAGGTGAAGGTGCTGACGGGGCAGGCTGCCTCCTGAAGCCTCCTCCTTTGGCTTGGAGGAGGCCACCATCTCGCCGTGTACTTACAGGACCTCCGTGAGGACAGATTACCTGGTGTCTCTTCCTATAAAGGCGCTGATTCCGGGTCCAGAGCTAGGCCCAGCCCTGATTATCTCATAACTCATCTAACCTGGTGACCTCCAAGGGCCCGACCCCCAAATACCTTCACACTGCGATTGGGATTTCTACATACGGATTCTGGGGACACACGGTTTGTCTGTGATAGTTACGTACACACACACAGGAGCAACTGGGCAGTAAAAAGGTAGTGCTGAGGGGGCTGCCTGAGCTTCAGCCCCCTCTGTACCACTTACTAATTCTGTGACGATGCACAGTTGCTGGCCTTCGCCTTGCCTCAGTTTCCCTCTTTGTAAAATGGGATAAGAGTAAGTTGCGGCAGTTTTTGCTTTTGGCCGACATAAAATGTTTGGACACCAGGTGGCGCAGGAGAGGTGAGTACGTGTGTCAGCTGCCGCCGAGTGCTGATAACCTGGTGGGACCCATTCTTGCTTTTTAAAATTTTTTTGAGGCAGGGTCTCGTTCTGTAGTGAGGCTGGCCTCGAACTCACAGCCATCCTCCTGCCTCAGCCTCCCCAGTGCTGGGACATAGGCGCGCGTCTCCACACCTGGCAGTGTCTTGCTCTTGCTGAGGCTGCTGACACATCCCCCAAGGCGGGGTCAGGGGGGAAACCGTTTGCTCCGGCCTCGGGGTGTGAGGAAGGGACGCGTAAGGGATGCGGAGCGCAGGGTGTGTAAGGGAGCGGGCAAGTCCGCGTGGAAGGACGAAGCTGGGATGGAACCGCCAGTCCGCTTGCTGAGCTGCCCCGCTGCCTCTGCCCTGGCGTCCGGGCTGCTGTCCACCAACACACTCGCCATTTTTGACAGGAGGCCAAGGCTGGCCCATGTGTCTTGTTCGTTCAGCCTCAGGGTGACGTCACTTTGTGTTTTTTTTTTTTTTGTCTTTCTGAGACAGGGTCTCCCTATGCAGTTCAGGCTGGCCTTGAGCTCACTTTTGTAGCCCAGGCTGGTCTCAAACTCACAATGATCCTCCTGCCTCAGCCTCCCGAGTGCTGGGATTACGGGCGTGTGCCACCACACCCGGCCTGGTGACTTCACTTTGAAGGCTTTGAAGGCCTCTCACGTTACTGGGCCTTGAGTGGGGCTCCACAAGACCACACTGAAATTTCCCTGTGGATTTACTCTTAGGAAGCTGAAGGAGACTGTTTTGTTCCCTAAGAGCTCTGGAAAAAGTAGTTTGTCTCTTCCCCTGCGTCCAGTTATCCTTCCAGGATGAGGACACTTTGACTCAGAAGCTAAGTGCTTTAAAGTTCTCGCGTCTTTGGGGATAATAAGAGACTACTCCTCCTACGGAGCATAGCCGAATGACACCACTCAACTGTCTTTCTGTAGGGCCAAGTTGTGCCCTTGATTGTATGGAAAACCATCTAGCAGCTTTGCTCTAAGGGAGAGGAGAGAAGCCAGCATAACTTCTGATAGGATAGCCAGCTCTCATCAGATTCATTCACAAATATCAGATTTATATGCTTTATTTCAAGCGCAGCTTCGACATGGAGTTAGGTGGGTGGGGGCCTTCTCCGTGGTAGGTGCCTGTCAGGTGACCGAACTGAGGGACTCGGGGTGCCTCAAGGCTGGGGCCGCTGGGTAAACTGAGAACCCACGCTCCCTCCCAAGGGCCGGCTGCTGTTCAGCCCTTACCAATTGCGGTGAGGTGGGAAGGTGAACCCCGTGTTGCCTGCTGTTTAGATTTCTTTTTTAAAAACAGGAGCTGCAATGTGGACTTTTATGGGCATTCTTCCCATAGAAGAAATTAATCTCAATATTACAAATAATTTTTAAATGTTGTCAGTTCAAATTAAACACACACATGCAGACCCATGGCTGGGCCCACTGGGCCTCAAGGCTGCCATTTCTTGATATTTATGTCATGGGCTTGAATGACACAGTGGTTCTGCCTGGAGATTCCCCAGCACCTGCCCTGTGTTTTGGTATTTAATTCTCGTATTAGTCATTTTGTTTGTGCTGAGACCAAATACCAGAGAACAGCAGGTTAAAGGGAGAAGGACTGATTCTGGCTCATGGCTTGCGAGGGTTCAGTCCACGGCCGGCCGGCCTCGTGGCCGTGCGCCTGAGATGAGGCAGACATCATGGTGGAGCATTCAGGGCACAGCAGAGAAAAGCTGATGGCAGATGGAAAATAGAGCGAAAAGGGGAGAGCCCCGAGGGAGGGGGAGGGACAAAACATACCCTCCGAGCCACGTCCCCAGCGACCGCTTCGTCCAGTCCAGCCCCAGCTCCTGATATGCCCACTGACCTGCGAACTCATCCACGGGGTGAGTCCACTGATAAAGTCAGAGCCTCCCTGATCCCCAGAGCGCCGCCTCTAACACCGCTGCACTGGGGACCAAACCAACCGCGCGTGAGTCTTTGGGGGCGGCTCTGCCTACTGAAATCATAGCCCAGAACGGTCTGGGAGTGCAGCCTCCGTCCTGCCCCCAGGTGTCCTCCGTCCCGATCCCTGACGTGCACACAGGCCCGGTAGCTAGGGAGGCGGAAGGCCAGAGCCAAGCCTCACTCTTGTGGTCCTCTCCCGCCAGGCGCTGTCCTTCTACAACGTCAGCCAGATGGGCGCGCTGCTGGCGGGGGTGGGCACCCAGGCCCTCTACAGCATGGACCGCAGGGACCTCGTGCAGGTGCTGAGGGGCACGGTCTCCCAGCACACGTCGCAGCTCTCACCTGCCCAGCAGCACGGTGTCCTCAGCAAGGTGAGCGGAGGGCGTCCCGTCCTTAGCCACACAGGCTCACAGAGGTGTGCTTTAGGGCTCTTGTGCATGCGCTGCGGCCCGGAGCCACCTGTCCAGAGGTGCGATGAGCTCAGTCGCTGGGGTATGGAGTTGCTCTGAGCCCCAAAGGTGGCTTCTCCTGAAGGCGCCTTTCCCTTTCCGGACAGAGCCTTTGGCCACGCGGCCGCTCTTCCCAGACTGACCCTGTCGCTCCTCCAACGAGGCTCGTCTGCAAGGCTGTTTTGGAACGAGGTTTCGTGATCTAATAACTTAAAAAAAACCCTTCTTTTTCAAGCCTAAAAACTGAACCTGAAGTTTTCAGAGTGTTTCTGAAAGGGCCCCGCCTGCGGTCCAAGGTCATGCCCTGCGCCGTTCTCACTGGGCAGTGGGGCTTTCAGGCATCTGCTCCTAGGGAGCCGGCTGTGCTCAACTGCGAAATCAGTTAAGAAGTCAAGGCCACGGGCTTTCGCCTGCACCTAGCTCCTCCGGACAGTGGGGCGGGAAGGGTTAAAATGGCGTGGGCTTTTGAACAACACAGCTTTGGCTCGAATCTCATACATAGTCTTTCAGCCCATCACTTTTTTGGCCTTAATTTTCCCACCTCAAATGGGGATAAAGAGACGCACTCCCTCGTGGAGCTGCTATGTAGATCTGACGGAGTTTATTTCCCATAGAAAAGTCCCAGTTCTTACCCAATTCTCCAGGCGCCGTCTACAAGGTCTCACTGTCTTTCCTCTCACGTGGACAGCTGAGTGAAGCAGGCGATGCCAGCCCAGCCCTCGGGGAGCTGCAAGGGCCTCTCTTTAAGGAAGTGTCTCTCTTTGATTTACGGAGAGAACTCGGATTCAACTCTACGATCCTCAAGGAGAAGGAGCTGCGCCGGAGCCAGGTACCAGCAGGGTCTGCGCAGATCAGACCCGCCTTTCCGTTTCCTGGGAGTGGTCTGTTTTAGGATTAGTTGGGTAAAAGCAACTCTTTTCTGTGTGATTCAGTCCAGGAGGCAGAGCAGCACAGTGTTAAGACACGAGACAAAATCTAGCATGAATTCTGGCTCCTCTTTACTTATTAGTTTTGGGGAAACTGCTTCTCACGTGCAAAGTGGGGATGATTTCCGGTGAGGTCCGCTGAATCGCGCCCGCTGCCCATGCACACGGCGTTAGCGGCCATCACGTGCGTTATGAAATACTGCTGCTGGCACTGAGATTGCTTGGGGAAATGTGCCTGGCCGTATAGCTTTCCAGTGTAGTTTATCCACTTCCACTTCATTCACTCCTCAAGTGTTTACTGAGCACCTACTCACCGCATGCCCGGTGTTGCTCATGGTTCTGGAAACACAGATACGAACAAAACAGACCAAAAACAATATTCTTTTCCAGGTGGTCTTGCTCAGGCGTCTCACATGGTCGGATGTTATTACAGTGGCTGGTGGCTGTGTAACAGACCACCACCAAATTCAGTGGCAAGAGCAATTATTTTACTTGGGAAAATATACCCTGCCACCAATGACTTCAAGATATTTTTAGCTGGGCGTGATGGCGCACGCCTGTAATCCCAGCACTTGGGAGGCTGAGGCAGGAGGATCGCTGTAAGCCCGAGAGCAGCCTGGGCTACAAAATGAGCTCAAGGCCAGCCTGAACTGCATAGCGAGACCCTGTCTCAAAAAAAAAAAAAAAAAAAAGATATTTTTGTCCCAGCCACTGAGCTCCTGGAGCTGTCATTTCTTGAGATGGGGAAGATCTTGAGAGGACCCCTGAGCCTGACCGTGGGCCCTAGGCAGTCTTCAGGGCCACACAGAGTGCCCAGGAATTCCCTCACCCCTACCCCACTCACCCGGCCTGTGTGATGTTTGAAGGCTCTCAGCTGCCGTGTTACAGAAGCTTCTGTCTGGTGTTAGCTCGTAATTTACTCCGTTTGGGGAATTATGTTCAAAGTTTCAAAGTCTATAAAATAGATGAATGTCGTACTTGATCGCATCTGCAAGTTAGGTATTCTGTAAAATTACCCTCCTTAAAACAAACGAGTCCCCTGTGGACCATGGATTGTTCTCCTCGAGTGTGCACCCGGGAGGGCTTTCGGGAACACCCTGCAGCAGGCTCGCATCGGTGAGGCACTTCCAGCCCCAGGCACCTCAGCTGCTCTGCCTGCAGAGCGGGGCAGGGGCAGCTGAGGTCCTGCACGGCCCTGCGGCTTCCTGAAACTCTAGCTCTGTAAGCTAGTGAAACCCTAGCTCTGCTACTCTTGGCTTTGCTCCTGTTTGTCCTGTGGGTATGTCAAAAATGGGCTGGAGCATAACCACGTGACCTCGGGGATTACTCTGACACCAGTGCTTTTCTTTGTGTCTTTTTTTTGAGATAGGGTCTCACTATGCAGTTCAGGCTGGCCTTGAGCTCACTTTGTAGCCCAGGCTGGTCTCAAACTCACAGCAATCCTCCTGCCTCAGCCTCCCAAGTGCTGGGATTACAGGCGTGCACCGCGATGCCAGGCTGTGACACTAATTCTAATCCTCACGGCCACTTGGCAAGTGCTGGGTTCTGGGTTAGTAACATACTCTGTTCAGCTTGTTTCCACGGCTGTAAAATGGGATCACAGAGCACCTTCCCTGTGTGCCTCACGGTGTGGGGTCCATCTGCCCTGTCAACCTCTGTCTTCCCTCAGGCCTTGTTTCTGTATGAGCTTCTGTCAAAGGTGACCGGAAGGCCTGAGGAACTCCTGAGGTAGGAGGGGGAGCTGGACGGTCCTGTCTGTAGCCTGTGTCAGAATGAGCCTGCCTTCTCCTGCCCCTTCCCTCTTTCCTCCCTCCCTCTTCTCCTCCCCGTCCTGGCTTTGTTTTTCCAGTGCCGGGCAGCTGGTCAAAGGCGTGACGTGCACCCACATTGACGCCATGGATGCCGACTCCTTCCTGGCCCATTTCCGGTATTTCGAGAACAGTCTCTCTCTGCTTTCACCGGATCAGGTACCGCTGAAGCTTCTTTCTGTGTCTAAATCTCTCTCTGCCCGACTCATTGGGCCTGGATTGCCTGTGGCCCCTTAAGATATCTATGCCAGAGTTATTCAGATTCAAGCAATGACTGGACATCAAATATTGAACAAAGGTTTCTCCCATTTCTTTTTAAAAGCTCCAAGTAGCTACATTGCTACAGCCAGAGTCTGAACAGTTTGGGTTTTCCACACTCGTACGTGAGCCTTAAAAATGTGTCTGTAAGGTGTACCCGTCTGCGTGTTCCTAGGATGTCCTCCTGGGACGAAGGTCACCCCTCCCCTAACATTCCTGTCCTTTCCAAGGCTTGCTGAGGATGGAATCAATCCTCTAAGAGTGTGTTCTTTCTCTTTGATTTTCTAAATGGTTCCAGAGACACTTCAGCCCTTTGTGGAGACTGGAGGCAGTAACTGACTTTTTATAGTAGCCAAGTTAGTAGAAAACAAGCCGTGAGGACAGTGTTTGGGGGCTGAGAGTCAGCCACTGGCTGTGGAGTCCTGAGCTGGAGGCGGGTGAATACCTGGGCATCTTCTCAACTCTGGCCTTGTGATTCAGACCCAGGTTACGATTTCCAAACAGTGAATTCTGTCCCCATCCCCCAGAACCTCTGGGTTATAATCGTTTGAGATCCTTTAAGGGGGACGACAGGGGGCACGCGGGAGAAGGAGCCCAGGTGGGGTGGGCATGGACGTGGGTGAGGCCCTGGAAGCTCACACCCTGGACTCCTGGGCCCCACAGCCTTTGTGGGAATTGTGCACTGGATACATTTAACAACACTTTTGAGAACGGTCGTCTTTTTTCTACCTCTTTACTTCGGAACGGTGGATGTCTTTTTCAATGAAATGGGACTGTATTGCTCTGACTTTAAGACGGTTACCGAAACACCTTCACTTTGGAAGACCTGTGGGTAATTACGAACAACAGCCTTACTGAGTACCGCCTTGTAACTAATGCAGCGAGACAAGTCTGTCTTTTTCCAGAGGAAGCGCCAGCGCGCTGGTATGGCACACTCACAGGAAGAACGGATTTGTTTCGGGTGGGAAGCAAGGCCGCTGGAATGCTGCCGGCATGGGTCCCACAGTGAGCTGAGAGGGCAAGGCCTGGAGACCCTGCTTGCTTCCATGTGGATGTGATTTTGATCGTAAGTGGACTAATGGGGGGATTGCTGTGCGTCTACGCTGCGTGCTTGAGTGGAGCCAAGGAGGAGGTCTGATTACCGCGCGGTGCCACTTTTTCAACCACGGAGAGGCCACCCCTGAGACCTGGACGCCTCCTCTCTGACAGAGCTTTGCGTACGTGTTCCTGGTGCTTCAGATGGATATCTTAACTGTGGTTCTCAGGCGCTGCAACAATTACGGAAGACACTACATGGCCAGTGTTGCCCCGTTGATAGTTTTTGCACACACAGCCTCGTTATTTCCCAGGTACGTGTGGTCTGCATTGATTGAAACGCACGTCAGAAGATCATTTGCACCGGTGCTGTCTCAGTTACCCTCTGTTTTATTTTGGTGTCTGGAGACCCAGTGTCCTTGTCTTGCTGTTATTCTTCTTTGTCACTGACATGGGCGATAATCCTAAAGAGAAAGAAGATGCCGAGATCGGAAGTATCTGAACTCAACTTTCGACTAATTCAGGGTTGTGGCTGGTGGCTTGGAATAATCGTGTTGACATTTCTGACGTCTAAAATCTTAGGTGTCTCAGACCACCTTAGCCTGAGTGACCTTCTGGGAATCAAAGCCTTATGGTGAACAAATTCTGAGACCTTCCTGCACACCTGTGCTCCCGAATCTCACCTCAGGGGACAGGTGACTCGTCTGAGGTGCACAAAGGCGTTATTGCTTCCACTTGTACTGATCCCTTATTTTATCTTTAAAAAGACCATTCGTGACATTTTACGCGCCCGATCTACAAATTCTTATCTAAGAAAACAGCTCCTTAAACATGATGAGCTGGTTTTTCACACACTGCGGTTGTTAGCATTTGCTGCTCTTGCGATTTTGATTTTGAGGCTGAAGCTGTTTCTGACACCGTGTATGCGTGTTGCAGCTTCCTTGATCTGCTCTTTGGCTGACTTTTTCAGAGTTCGTTTTGAGAGTGTTATCTTTGGCGTTCCAGCAATACAGGGTTGTGCAAATCTCCATCGTCAGTGGAGCATGATGGGAGACTGTACTAATTTGCCTCAGAAAGACCTTGTACAGCGGATCAAATGTGGTGTCAGACCAGGTGCTGTTTGTTCTCCAGGAGTCCTGCTGACAATAGCAAGCGTCAAGCTGGCCACGCTGTGCCCCCTGGTGAGCCACTACACTAGAGGACACAGACTTGAGGACCGAACGGAAATGGTTTATTCTGTGTGGAGTCAAGAATCCGCAAAAGCGAGAGAGAAATTGCCAGTTACCTGTGAGTGATTATGTGTTAGAGGAAGCTCGGTGTATCCGGAGAAGGAAGGCTTGTTGCAGGGTCCGGCGAACCCGGGACGTGGAAGACCCTCACGGTGCAGCCGGCCCCTTGTTGGGTAGCACCCTGTTCTCGGACGCCACACCTTCCTCCACCGCCAGGATTCCAAGCGCCTGCTGCAAAGAACTGAAAGTTAAGCGAGAAAGACATTATCTAGGCTGCTTCTAAGGCAAAGAAAACAGTGCAAAGAAGGCATCAAAGACACAGACTCAACATGCATGAACGTCACAGGTTTTAATAACAGCTGCTTCAAGTGAGAGAGTAAGAATGGCTTAAAGTTATTCTGATGACTAAGAGCAAATGTATTTTTCTCTATGGAATGTCAGCCTTGCTAAGCTTGTCATATAGGTAATTTTACTTACGCTCAGGAAAGATCTTCTGTAATTTCCACTGTTTTCAAAGATCCTTTCTAGTTAAGTGTTTTTAAAAACAGGTTGTTTGGTAATGTTTTGAATCTCTAGACTTTGCTTCCCCAACCAGTTTAAGTATTTCCCCCTGATTAGTTCTCCACCTAAGTTCAACAGATATGAACCTGTCTTTAGAACCCAGTGGTTTTTCTCTTAATATCTGGGAAAAATGAAAATTAGTCGCTAAAAACAGCATAGTATTAGCACAAAAACAGAACCCAATTAAAGGATTCAGAAACAACTCCAGACATATTCAACTACCTTATCTTTGACAAAAGAGCCAAACACCTTCAGTGAAGGAAAGCCTCTGTAATAAGTGGTGCTGGAAAAACTGGCTTCCACATGCCAAAGACTAAAACTAGACCCATATCTCTCACTACTCACCACATTAAAATGGAAATGGATCTAAGATCTAAATATTAAAACAAACACTAAATCTGCTGGAAGACAGACTAGGTAGAATCTTGAAGACACTGGAGTGGGCAGAGACTTTATGAACATAGCCATGATCACACAGAAACTATCACAAAGAATCAACAACTGGGCTCTCATTTTATTTGAAATCTTTTGAACAGCAAGAAAAATCACCAACAGAGTGAAGAGACAACCCACATGGTTTGAAAAAATTTTTTGCAGGCTCTTCCCCAGACAAAGGACTACTATCTAGAATATATAAAGAACTCAAAAAAATCAGATATCCCCAAATTTAAAGACTCAATTAAAAATGGGCATGTGAAAAGAATGGGCATCTTCTTTAAGATAAAGCAGTAGGAACAGCAAATAAAAATGTGAAAAAATGTTCAACATCGGGGCCAGGGATACAGCTCAGTGGCACAGCACCTCCCTGGCAAGTGTGAGGTCATGAGTTTGATTCCTGGTACCAAAAAAAAAAAAAAAGTTCAACATTACTGGTCATTCAAGAGATGCAAGTTAAAACAGTGCTGAGAGTCCATCTCACTCCAGAAAGAATGGCTATCATCAAGAAATCAACCAGTAACAAATGCTGGAGGGGCTGTGAGGAAAAAGGAACCCTTCTCCGCTGTTGGTGGGAACGTAGACTGGTGCAGCCACTGTGGAGATCAGTCAGGAGATTCCTCAAAAAACTAGGATTACAGCTCCCATTCCACCCAGCTATTCCCCTTCTGGGTATCTTCCCAGAAGAATTAAAAACATCATACCACAGCGACATATGTGCACCTGGGTTTATAGCAGCACAATTTGTCATAGCAAAATCTTGGAAACAACCAAAATGCCCATCAACTGAGGAATGGATAAAAAAGATGTGGTCTTTTTATACAATGGAGTACTACTCAGCCATAAAGAAGGATAAATTTGAGACATTTCTTGGTAAATGAGTGTACCTTGAGATTGTCCTCTTACGTGAAATAAATCAGACACACCTGTGTAAATACTTCATTGTTTCTCTGGTGTGAGAAACCAGAAGTGTAACTAAGGACCAAAATGTATAATAGATAATGTGGAATAGGAAGAAAATGTTCAAATGGGAAGGGGAACTAGGGAGGGGGGGAGGGAGAAAGGAAGGAAGGGAAAAGAAAAAACGAGGAAAGAAGGAAAAATGGAAACAAAGCTTTTGTAAATAAGGAGGGAAAGAGGGGTTGAAGGGACTGGGGGGGGGGAATGGGAAAAAAATCAAGGTTTATAATTCACAGGTGCAAATTCCCTGTGATGAACATGATCATCATGTATACCTAAAATGTATCAATAAACTTAATTAGTTAAGAAAGCAGAAAGGAAAATCCAGTTAAATTTATCAAATGAGATTATCAGATGCTAAATCCTGAATGAAGCAAAGGCCTTTTTTTTTTTTTTTTAGGAGCAGGAAATATTTATTGAGAGAAAGAAAGCTTTTATCTAAGAGGGACAGAAGGGGCCCATGTGGATGGCCCAGGCCTTTCTACTGTAATGGCCCCATAACTTTTTGGACGTAACCTTTGCTTCCAGCCAACATCTCTGGTCATACACCCCTGAAAGCCTTTATTTATGTTTGAGCTTGCATGAGGAACTCACGCTTTATAAATCTTTTCTCCCAGTAAAACCTCCTCATCATTAATGCCTTGAAAAGTGGTATTTATCTTGAAGATATAGTAGCCAAATATAGACTAGTACCTACTCTTTTTCTCTGGCTGGTAAGTACTAAATGTGCCAAATCTGTAAACTTTTAGTGTGTGTTTCCTCTAAGTTAATCATTTTGGAGTTTTTATACTTATTCTTCCCTTATAGCCTTGGCCCTCTATCCTTGGGATAACAAAATACTTTAGTTCCATAGGTTAGTTCACTTACAGTAGACAGGTAATCATATACAGAAAAAAAAGAGTAAAATTATTTATTTTTCAACCTCTGTAGTTGTAAAACATTTTAGTATAGGGCAAAAAAGAGCCAAGAAAGAACGCCACATTTTATTTATTTTAGCATTTTTAAATAATTTGCTTTGCTGTGAGCGTGTAGCAAAGAAGAAAGACACAACACCCGGCATTCGTAAGAGTAAAGGAACACATCCTAGGTGATGTTTTCATGGGGAATATTTTAAAGAAGTTGGCAGATTTCAACAAAAAAGGGATGTGCCGTATGAACGGATGAACTGTTCCAAATGCAAAAAAGTAAAGAGATCAAAAGAATATGCAGAGTTTTAATAGAGCCTATTCATTTCCTTGGATTATTTATTATGTAAGAGCTTCCCAGAGTTGAGCTTGTGTCATGGCCTGGGAGGCTTCTGACAGCACAAATCGAGCTCTTGCCTACTGCTTGCCTGTCAAGGAAGGAAGGTTCTGCTCCTAGTACCCAAAACCCCAAGCAAACAAAAACTACAGACTGCAGGCCCCACACTCTGTTTCCCAGAAATTAGGTCTGGGAGTTTTCATTTCTTTCTTTCTTTTTTATGGCACTGGGGACTGAACCCAGGGCTTTGTGCATGCTAAGCCAGCACGGAGCTACACCCCTGGATATCATAATTTGCATTTCTAATTACTTCCCTAGAGAGAACCATCAAACTACATTAAAAATCCTGCCCAGGCAGGGAAGTCAGTGGCTCAGTAAATGAACGGAGGTCAGACCTGCTTTGAGGAAGAGCTAAGGTTGGAGTGGGAGCAGCCTCCCCAGCAAGGTGCTGCTTGGATTCCCAGGGGTCAGAACCTTCACATACCGGTTAGCTAGAAAATTTGTCTGTATTGTTTACATTTTACTGGAAATTCATAATTATTATATAAAATAAAGCAACGTGGCGAAAATAAAATTTCCCCGAAACATCCCTAGAGCCGTGGTTCTCAGCAGGGCGCTGTTTCACTCCCTAGGGGCCTTTTGGCCGCGTCTGAGACACTCGGGTGTTACAACCGGGGCGTGGGTGGATGGTGGAGGCTGGGGGTGTTGCTGAGAAACCTGCGCTGCACAAAACAGCCCTCACAGCAGAGTTATTAGATCTGAAATGTTGACAGTCCTGAGACGGAGTGTCCCTCTTCCACCCCTTAGTAGAGGGAAAACTTACAGCGTTTCCTCTCTGAAGCGGATAAAGATATTTACATGGATTGTAAGAAATACAGACGAGTTTACACTACCCACAGCACAGTATTGTACTGCATGCGTATGCCATAGTAAGCTGAACTAATCCCCTCCTGCTGGACACTCAGGTTATAGCTCACTGATAGTTATAAGCAGAAGTGTGGTGGACATTATCACACTTAAACTTTTGTGTTCATCTTTCATTACCTCTGTTTCCACATCTGTACTGTGAGCGCAGGAGCGGTACCCACACCACAGGGTGTTTTACACATAAAGGAGTATCTGAGAAACACTTAGGACAGTGCTAGCACACAGAAAGCACCGTGTGTGTTTGCTCTTGTTATTACTGGACTAAGTTCCTAGAAGCACTCGTCTTCCAGGTTAACTGCTTGGCGTGGAAATACTGGGACGTCTCCAGGTCGTCTATGCCGCCGTTCCTCTTAGCCACACTTCCGTAAGTGACCGTGGGCCCCTCTTTTCTGGCTTGGCAGTAGGGTGGGAAGGATCCCCCAGACCACAGTGATTCTCTGCCCCTGTGTTTTCTGGAGGACCCAGAGGCAGCAGGAGAGAGCCGTACACAGCTAAGCCCTCAAGAACCTAAATTCTGAGCCCCACATAGGTTATATGCAATTTCATACTCTCTGGCTCTTTCTTTTATTTAAAAACCAAAGGCAAAGCAACCCATGCCTGAATGACTACCAGGGAAGCAGGCCTCACTTGGGTGGGCCTCTGAGGCAGGCCTGATAGGAGCAGTGAGGATTTCCCGCTTTCCAGGCATGGCCAGGAGAGTTTCCCTTCTTTTTCCTTCTTCATTTCCTTCTTTTGCTGTTATATTCTTAATTCATTCAAAATATACATATGTGCTGGGTACCTACTGTGTGCTAGTTCTGAAGAGATAGCTGAATTTCCCCCTTACAGTCCTTGAGAGGGAGACAAACATAAAGTCAGTTATAACATCAAATTGATATTTGGCTGAAAGGGACAGAACCTGATTCAAATGGGCTCAGGCAATACAAGGGAATTTTTGGTTCTGGCAGCTGGCAATTTAAGGGGGGACTTCAGGCACGGCTGGATCTAGGGACTGAGAGGGTGCCGTCTGTCTCTTGGGCCAGCTTTCTTCTGTTGGCTTCACTATCAGGCAAATTCTTTCTCTCCCATGTCTCTTGGAAGACCCAAAGTTACCTTTTCTGTGTCATATTCAGGGAAAAGAGAAAGACTTTCTCTTCTCATTATTCTTAATAAAAGTCTTGGGTTTGACTTTCGTTGGCCTTAGTTGGGCCAGTTTGTTCCCCTGAACCAATCAATAGAAGGATGGGTAACTGACTGGAGCTGGGAGTGGAGTTGGATGCACCCCAAATCACAAGAGAGAAAGGAGTGGTTTTCCAAGATGCCCCAGTGCTGCCTCCGTGAGAATGGGGGATGGGCAGTGGGCCTGGAAGAGGGGATGTTGCTTCTGGACCGGAGCGTCAAGGGAGCCTGAGGATGAGCTGAGGGTAGAGTTGTAGGAGCACTCCAGGGGGGGATGTGGGAAGGTCTGGTCCAGTGGGGCAAGAGTCCATCGAAGCACATGGTGCATATCCAAAGCAGGTGCAGAGAGAACGGCGGGGACCTCAGGTCACGGGGGGGGG